TGGTCGTGAGGCCTGAACTTGGGGCTTGGGTGCTGTCCTTCAGCTCTTCAGCTCAAAGCTAGTGCTCTACCACTTGAGCCACAGCACCACTTCCGGCTTTTTTTGCTTATGTGGTGCTGAGGAATTGAACCCAGGGCCTCATGCATGCAAGGCAATCACTTTACCACTGAGCCACCTTCCCAGCAGGCCATCCATTTTTGTAGCACACTTTTTAAAACAATTCTAACTGGTCCTACCTTTCTAGGGCCTAGACCCGCTTACACAGGAAGAATGAAGTCACCAACTTTTACGTAGCCAGGCTAATCATAAGAATCTGTCCAGGCTTCAGATAATTTGAGTCTTAGTTTTGTTTTGTTTTTCTTGCCAAAGTAATATAAACTTAAACTGAGGAGAGATATTTAATATTTAATACTAAGCTTTAACAGGAACCTGCTATCATTGCTATGTATCTTGATGCAGACTATGGTGATAATATAAGAGAGTACAGGGACACTTGCAAAAAAACAATAAAATAAATGTATGATTATGTATCTACATATATGGTCCTGGTGGTATGTACACATATGTGTACGTGCATATGTGTTTGCATGTGTTTGTGTGTGTGTGCATAGAGTGGTAAGGATTGAACTCAGGACTTTATACTTGCACAGTAAATGCTCTAAGATTTGAGCCACCCCTAAGTCCTTCTTGCTTTCAGTTTATTTTCAGACAAGGTCTTGTGCTATTCCCTAGTATGGCCTTGTACCCTACTCCTCACCTTTCTGCCTCCCAAGTAGCTGAGATTTAAGAAACTGGTTTCCAGTTTTCCATGGATGTTTTCTGTGGTTCTATGGCTGTTAGTGACCTTTAGTGCATTGGAAATTTTTGGTAAAAGCCAAAATAATAAAAGAGATCGTAGATAGAAAAGAAGGACAAAAGCATTCCTTAAAATCAGGCCAGTGTTAGAGCCAGATGCTTGGAGGAAATGCAGCCTGGGGCTCATCCTTCTGTTATGTACTGTTTCTAAGCTGTAAAATCAGAACGTTAATTAAACATCAGCTAGAGAAACAGAATTCATTAGCAGTAGACCCAGAAAAGAATAGAGGAGTGTGCCATTTCTCTTCACTTTTCTAAGTAGGTCGCAACTTGTTTGTATTTGTGTTTTCTTCTATAAATCCAAATGCCAGTTCTATACCTCTTGTCTTCGCAAGATTTGTTGATGTCAGTATTCTAGTGACTTCTATTTGCATCATTCTTATCAACACTTCTGGAGGCGCTCCTTCAGGTGAATTTCTGGGATGCTGGGACTGAGCATTGGTGTCACTCAGGTCTGGCATCTTCAGATCAGTAAGAGAGAGAGAGCACTCTGGTCTGTCTCCCACTGGTCTCTGTTCTCACATCTGCTTTGCGGTCAGCAGACAACAAGGCCTCCTTAATTATTTAGCATAAGAAAGGCAATAACACGTTCAGCCCTTGAGAGGAAACTCCAACACAACCTGATTGGCAGACTTGCACTCTGAGGCCAGTGATTAACACTCTCTGTGGAACATATTTTTAAAATCATGCTTTACAACAACTCACACCTGTAATCCTAGCTATCAGGAAGTTGAGATCTGAGGATCACAAGTTTGAAACCTGTCCAGGCAAGAAAGTCCATTGAGACCCTTATCTACAATTAATCACCAAAAAGCCAGAAGTAGAGCTGTGGCTCAAGTGGTAGAGTGCTAATCTTGAGCCAAAAACCTCAGGGACAGTGCCCAGGCCCTGAGTTCAAGCCCCGGGACTGACACAAAAAATACACAAAAAAATTACCCTTTACAACACCACTAATCCACCATAGAAGAAGGCTCTGTTCCTAAGATTGGTATTGGTTCTGTTAAGAGGAAAATCCATGGGGCTGGGAAGGTGGCTTAGTGGTAGAGTGCTTGCCTTGCATGCGTGAGGCCCTGTGTTCGATTCCTCACCACCACATAAGCAGAAAAAGCCAGAACTGGGGCTGACCTTCAAGTGGTAGAGTGCTAGCCTTCAGCTGAAGAGCTGAGGGACAGCGCCCAGGCCCAGAGTTCATGCCCCCTGACCAACCAAAAAAAAAAGGTGGTATATTTACTGTGGTTACACATACTGTTTGATCCTAAGCTGTTGAAGCCAGCGGATATTCATAGATGTGATTTTTGAGGCAGATAGAATCCCAAAATAACTCAGAATTATGACCACTGACTTGCCTTCTGCATTTGAGCCTGTACCAATCTATTGCATGCACACTGCTTTCTCTCTCTCTCTCTCTATATATATATACACATATATATACACACTGCTATGTGCATATATTGAACATTTTAATGTATATTCTTTTTAAAATTGTAATTATAAAGGCGATATACACAGAGTTATAGTTACATAAGTCAGGTAAAGTGTATATTTATTTTTGGACAGCATCGCCCCTTTTATATGTACTCTTAACATGGAAGAAACATTGCAAATGTCTTCAGTGCCTGGTGTAAGCCTGAGATTTCTCCAGTAAATATAGGAGCAGCTGGTCATTCTTTTTCTTGGAATTAAGATGCCTGCTTCATTTATGTTCTCATCATTCTTCTCCTAACAACAGAGGCAATAACATCCATCCAAGATCTGTATTTATTTTTTAAAATCTTTATTCATTTATATTCTGTAGTTGTACAGAATGGTTTCAATTCCAGACCTCTGGCTATGAGTACAATGTGTCTTGGTCAGTGTTACTCCTTTCATTGTTCTCCTCTATCTCCTATCTCTACGTTCAAGTTAAACAGTTCAACTTTTATGCAAAGTACATTTGATATAATATTGTATTTGCCTGCCCTTCCTCCTTAATTTTCATAACACTTCCTAATATTAATTTATTTTAAAAGGAATGCAATTTTCTTAAGTATTTTTGCCAGTACTACATTTGAACTCAGAGCCTCACACTTTCTAGCTTGGTGTTCTAGCACTTAGTCCACTCCTCCAGTCCAGTTTTTACCGCCTAATTTAGGATAGAGTCTCCTTCCCAACTAGATTCATGCTTGAACCATGATCAACCAATCTAGGCTACCTGTAGTTGCTGAGATTACAGGCACAATCCACTGAGTCTCAAGGATGTTGAAGGCTGGGCTGTCTTGGAACTGTTATCCTCTCAATCTGAACCTCCATATAGTTTAAGATGACAGGCACTTGCTACTGCACCCAGCTATGTGTTAACAAGAAGATCTCACAAACACTTCTATCTAGGCTGGCCTTGAACCACAATCCTCCTAATTTCAGTCTCCCAGGTAGTGAGGATTGCTGACAACTTTTTATTGTGAGAATTTTCAGTCATTCACCAAGATAAAAATCCCCACATAGTTGTTACCCTGCTATAATTATGAATGTTTATCAACAGTACCTGTTACAAAGCATCAATTCATATACCTTAATTACTAAGTAGACAAACAAGGACTTTATTGTAGTGGTTATATTTTGGATCATTGCATATGTTCTATGAAGAACCAGAATGGCTATGTGTTTGCTAGGTAAGTGCCTGACCTCTGAGCCACACCTCAGCCTGTTTTTGCTCTGGTCATTTTCAAGCTAGTATCTCACTTTTTGCCCCAGACATCTGGAACTGCAATCCCCTATTTATGCTTCACATATAGCTGAGATGGCTGATCCTTGCTGTCATGTTCAGTTACTGATTGAGATGGGAGCCTAATGAACTTTTTGCCAATGCTGGCCTCATCTCAATCCTCCTAATCTCTGTCTCCCAAGTAGCTGAGATTACGCCACATCTCCCATTTCTGATGCCCATGTGCCATGTGTTCATGTCAGTATTCAGTTGGAGAATTAGTATTTTCAAGATTAGGACTTGGCAAGCACTCAATACATGTTCTACAAAATTAAGAGGAGTAAGGGAAGGGAGAGGTAGGGGAGGGGTGAGTGAGAATATTGAAAAGGGCGACATTGATCAACATGCATTGTGTTCATAAACTGCTTTGTTAAGTGCCAAATCCTTCTTACAACTATTTAAAGATGATATAAAAAATTTAAAAAGACTGAAAAGAAAAGATTAGGATGTGGCTAACCTAATAGAACGGACTGGCTAGAAGTTGTTCAGTAAAGAAAAAGAATAGCTACTGCTAAGCACGTCAGAAAACAAGATCAGCTTTTGGAATCCATCTCCTGGGCGTATTAAACAAGATAAATCAAATATTCTTTGTATCCTGTCTTTCTAGTTTGATTCCCTCATGTCAGGCCTGCCAAGCCAGTGTTTTTAGAATGCTATTATAAGGAGTTGGATTCCAATCGATTAGCCAAAACTTACATTTTTCATTGAGTTCATTTTATTTTATTATAGCAGGTTCTGAATACTGCTCAAACTCCCCTTTTTCTATCATGCTTCTCTCAGTAAAGATGTGAAATCTGGTTGGCATTTCCTAGGCTGCCTTTGCCTACAGATATTTAGAATTTTATAGTATGTGTTTGATTTTTGTATTCCCTTTCCTTCATTTGGAAGAGTTCTCATTCAGAAAGCTATCCCCTTTGTTCTTTCCTGAAAGCGAGTAAGCTTCTGGGAGCTTCCTCGCAAAGATGAGGAAATAGTTGCTTAGTGGCATTGCATAGTGAGGATATCCTACTGGTGGGGCTTCCTCCAGACCCCCATGTGCTAAGCCCCAGGCTCAGGCCCCTTCCAACTTGGCAGTGCCCTGAGGATGCATTCTTTGTCATCTGACTTCACCCAACAAGAATGGCCATTCCTTGTGGATGGAAACCAGGCATGTCTTAACAGTAGCAGCTCAGGAACAGAATTTGTCATTTCTGTTCACATTCGTTTGCTACCCCTTGCCTGCTGGGAAAGCTGAGCAATAAAAAGAATTGCTGGGAGCTCAGGGTGAAGAGTTCTGATGTCGGCTGCCCCTGACCTGAGGCCTGGGGCTAAGCCCATGACGAGCCAGCGTTGTGATCTGATGAGGTTGCTGGGAGACTTGGGGCCTAGGGTCACACACTTGGCTTGTTTGGTGTCTTCCCTACAGATCCAGCCTGGAGCAGATGCTGCAGAGACTGTGGGACCCACAGTGCCCACCGAGGGGGCTCTGGTGGAGGACACGGAGGCAGAGAGGGCAGCCCTTCCCACCGGGGAAGGAGGAAGTTTAGAGGAAACTAAAACCGAGGCAGAAACCACCGAGTTTTTAGACAGTGATAGACCTCCATCTGCAGAGACGGAAGCAGCAGACACTCAGGTGAGTGTCCCCCCCGCAGAAATCCTGGGGGGATGGAGGGCTGGAATAATCTGTCTGCAGGTTGAGAATGGTAGCTTCCTGCAAGTTTATAGCCATTTTGTGTCTCCCTATCATATGTGTGTGTGGTTAGATTATAATCTAGGCTTTACATAATCAGTATATATATCATGAGGTTATATATAATCTATAATACAATGTAATTATATACTATATAGTACATTATATATACATACATGTATATATATGTATATATAATACAGTATATATAACATAATTATATGAGGTAATTATATATTATATAGTATGTATGTATTGTGTATTATATTATTATATAATATCTACATTAAACATATATCATCTAAATATATACATTATATGCATATAATTATAAGTATATATGATATATATCATAGTATGTAATTTAATATGTAATATATATATATATATATATATAAATTCATTGCTCCATTCAGAGTGGTCCTAGCACTCATTTCATATCAACACCATGTTGTTCCACATGATTCCTAGTTCCCATGGTTGATGCCGTTGAAGCACAGAAAGTGGAAGAGGAAGCCAGGGAATAAGCAGAGTTGAAAGAGATGAAAATGGAGGGAGGAGAAGACAATACCATGACTGGGTTGAGGGAGAAAATACCCATAAACCTTAGACCAGGGCCAGGCACGTGATGAGAAATCAGCATTACTAATGACCTCCTAATACTGTCCTCATTGTTTTGTGACCTCCGCCACCAGGCTTCCTCCAGCAAGGCCCAGTGCCGAGGGTTCCACTCTGGGCAGGGAAGATGTGCAATGAGGTCATGCATGGAGCTGAAGCAAAATACCCCTTCCTGCCACTGCCTCCCTCCAGCATTCAAAAGCCATAAATCACACATTCTATGACTGGGGACTGGAAGGCTGCAAAGATCATACGGGCCAATGTGGAGCCCTCCCTTGGATTTCCATTTCGGCATGGTCTCTCTGACTCCTGGCGATCCCTTTGTATCCCCTTCAGCCTCCACGCCTCCCCACTGTCCTCAGAAATCAGAGTGACTGCCAAAGGCCCCCAACATGAATCCCACTAAGGGTTTGGCACTTGGAGACAGGAAGAATGTAGAGACAGAGAGTTGGTGAGCCATCCACTGCATGGTGCCAACCCAACATCTGAGAAGCTGTAGGATTTGGGGAACAATGATTGGGACAGAGGGGGTTGTAGAGGCAAGTTCTGGAAGAGGCATCCCTGCTGGACATCACTGCCTTCTTCTTTCTCTAGGAGAAGGTCATTCCTTCAGTAGTCATTGAGCCTGCCTCCAACCATGAAGGAGAAGGAGAGCACGAAGCAGCCATGGGTACAGAACCCAAGGAGGCCACGGCAGAGGTGGCTCCCAAGGCTCCCACGGGGGAGTCTCCAGAGCTGGCCAGGGAGCAGGAGCCCCCAGAGGACACCCAGGCTGCCCCTCCTGATCAGCTCCCCTCCGGAGGGGAGGCCTCCCTGGATCGGCCACCTGGCTTTCTCTACAAGGTCTCTGTACTGTGACATCCTGGTCATTTGTCTTTTCTTACTTTGAGTCCCATTTTCTTCAAGTAAGTGTGTGTGTGTGTGTGTGTGTGTGTGTGTGTGTGTGTGTGTGTGTGTG